TGAGTGAGTGAGTGAGTGACTGACTGACTGACTGAGTGAGTGACTGAGTGAGTGAGTGACTGACTGACTGAGTGAGTGACTGACTGACTGACTGAGTGAGTGAGTGACTGACTGACTGACTGACTGAGTGAGTGAGTGACTGACTGACTGACTGAGTGAGTGAGTGACTGACTGACTGAGTGAGTGAGTGACTGACTGACTGAGTGAGTGAGTGACTGACTGAGTGAGTGACTGAGTGAGTGAGTGAGTGACTGACTGACTGAGTGAGTGACTGACTGAGTGAGTGAGTGACTGACTGACTGACTGAGTGAGTGAGTGAGTGACTGACTGACTGACTGAGTGAGTGAGTGAGTGAGTGAGTGTGACTGACTGACTGACTGACTGACTGAGTGAGTGAGTGACTGACTGACTGACTGACTGACTGAGTGAGTGAGTGAGTGAGTGACTGACTGAGTGAGTGAGTGAGTGAGTGAAAGCGGGGAATATGACAAACTACTATGAGATATGTAAACCTTCGTTTCCTCTACCCTCCGAATGGCAGCATGGCAATACGGGTACGTTGAAGTGAATCTGCAGCCCATATGATTCCCAACATGTTCAAGTTGCAAGCTGCATCAAAGTTGACCTCAGCTCTAGGCCCCACCAAGCCTTGGATATCTTGTTGGGCAATGCTGGCAGCTCTCTCCTCTCAAACACACGGCCGATGGGATCTCAAAAATGATCAGCCCAACGACCGACTCCTCCAGATCCTCTGCAGTGGGTGCGTGAAATGTACCTGGAGTTCAACTGTTCCACGTTCCGTGATACAAAAGTCACAGAGCCCAAACAACTATGCTCAGGGTGCTTAGAAATTCCGCGGGCGGAGGCGGAGGTGGTGGTGGTGGTAGGGGAGCATCCTCCAGCGAGAAGAGCCGCTCCTGCGAGGCAGTCGTAATGACGAAATCCCCATAATGGCGAGTCTCGTTTGGATGGCTTCGCAGGCTGAAAATATGGCAAACACCTGATCAGAGTGCTGCTTCCTCTGTAACACCTGCCACGTGATCATCACTAATCCGCCAGCCACGATCTCGCACAACATGGACCCGAACCTGCAAGTGAAATTGCTCAGATCGCGTGCGCGCCCAGCACTTCGCACTTTCGGAGTGTCCCACCTCTGACGCTCCAGCAGGGGTTTCAACCCTTCGCACATCTCGCCTCACCAAGCACATCCGGTCGGCGCCGACTGAGTCCAACAGCTGCACGGTGTCTCGATTCTCTGGTCCTTTGGTTCGGATCCCGCCAAGCACGTCGACCCGTGACTCCCGAAGTCAAAACTCTGGACGGGACTGGGGCGAACACTTGCCACCACCCACTCGTTTCTGCACAGGGCGCTCGCCACTTCCCTGCGTGTCGTCCACAAAAATACTAAGAGGGTGGGCTGAGTCATGCGCAAAACCAGAATGCAGAATCCGACAAACAAAAAACACAAAATGACAAGAAAATAGATCTCCCTGCTGGACGGTGTCCCCCAAAAACCTCTAGAGACCAACCTGTAAAGTCTCAGGTTATGTTTGCTGCACTCCTCCCAGGTCCTTTCAGTGACATTGAGTGTGCAATCTCTTGCGTGCTGTGTGAGACTATCCATAGGAATTGTTGGATTGGTTTTACAAAACCACAAATGTGAAGCATGCTGGAGAGCACTCCTTGCATCACCAAACTTCGAGCAGGCAATCCAAAAACTGCATTTATATAACAGAAAAAGGGCTCGTAGCTAGTAGTGACACATGCTGGAAAAATTAGTCCCTGGAACTCTTCTGGCAGGTGAACCGCGCCGACCATCTACGATCCATCTTTCCAAAAATAAGCAGTTCCAAAGCTCCCCTGCAAAAAGTTTTGTCAAAAGAAGGATGAAACTTCTACATTGGTCTTGGATCCCAAAGGTCCATCAGCGCGCGCGGGTATTTGCTCGCCCGCGGGGTCAGCCGCACCCCCAGGTCCACGATCAAGGTCTCGTAGATCGGGCCAAGGCCAAGACCACCGAGCCGCACCTCGGCGGCTTTTAGAAGACGAGGTGCGGCCAACCGAGCCAACACGTTTTGGATGTCCGTGGGGCCGGATCGGCCTTCTTCTCTCAACACATCTCTGGTGATATATGCATATCTAAATACATGTTGTATGCATATCTTCCCGATAGTGGTCACAGAGCGATGACAAGGAAGATAAGGATGACCAGACGGACATCCGGCGCTGAATCAGCGATGGGTTGCCTGGCCTGTCGCTCATGATTCCGGTGCGCCTCAGCAAGTCGGTGGGGTCAGGGTCCGGTCCACAAAAGGGAAGTCTTCTTCACTTGCTCATGTTTCAATATGTAATCCCATTTCATCCTCTTCGAAAGCCTCAGAAAGGTGTATTCTATATATGCTGTTTCTTTCTCAGATCTACTGGAATCGGAGTGACAATCCCTTAAGGCACCTGTTTGGAGGGACTTCTTCAGCATGAATCATAGTGATAAATGCACCCCCACCTGCTCGAGCCTGCGGGCAGCTGCTTCTGGGTATCGACCTCACATGGGAACCCATGGGAGAGCGGTCCTCATGCAGGGGGTCCGGTCGCATGAAAAGCCATGTCAGCCATATGTAGACATTTTGACAGACAGAGTCTGTCTGGGCAGTGCTTCGCGCGTGCAAGATCTAGATGGGATAGGACATCCTCTCTCTCTCTCTCTCTCGGTTCCAAGCTTAGCTCACCAGATCGCGGATCGATTGAAATCTGAGTGAAAGCAAGAGTTCAAAGCCAAGCCTACCATAGCCTCCCCAGCTTCTCCCAAGATTTCAGTCCCAGTGGAGCTTGAGCTGGGAGAAGCTGGGTAGGCTTGGGAGAAGCGATTTCAATCACTGTTTCTCTGAGATCCGTGGTTCTGCTCCCAAGCCAGCCACCCACACCGAGCTGCCGCCGCTGCCGCTGCCGCGAGCGGCGCTGCCGCTGCCGCTCGTGCTGCCGCTCGCGTGCGCTGGCGAAGGACCTGGTGATGGGGTGATGGATGGGTCCGCGCGCATCCCAAACTGGCAAAAACCACGAAGTGTGCTAAAAAATTAGAAAAGTTTTGGCCCTGGATACGGAATCGACCCTGCAGACCTCAGACCTTCCAAACGTCGACCTCAGACCTTCCAAAAGGTTGACCTCAGCACTTCGTGTCCAAGTGGTGCGCTGAAGGACACGTCTCACGTCGCTCTGCCTGCCCTGCTACTGGAGGACATGCCGAAGATGGCACGCATCTCAGACCTTAACCGCTGTGTCTCGGGCCATCGAGTCACCATCGAACGTCCGCCCTCGGCCATCGGTGTCACCGGCCGCCGGGTGGGCTTCGTGGGGTGGCCAGGTCCCCGACATCCCGGCCGTGATCAGTGAGGACATGGCTCAAAGCTGTCAATCTATATAGATGGGGGGAGAAAGGCGCTGCGGGATCAAGCCGGCAGGGGCGCGACGGGCAAGGGCCGCGGCGGACAAGCTCTGCCCCCATTGAGTTGCTTCGTGATTCCAAGTTCTGAGTGGTTCAAAGGAGGAAAAAGAGATTTCATTGGAAAGGATCAGTGCCGGGTCTGAAGCAGGGTTGAGGTTGAGATTTAGAAATATAATATATAGTTCGTGTCTGGTCAAATTTATCTGACGGAGTCTTTGCATTGCCGAGTCCATTCGAGAAAACAGCTCTTGGTCAGGAGAGCATCAAGATCAAATGCAAGATTAAGGGTGGCAAAGCTGAAACCACTTGCTCAGTTCACAAACCACTGTGTAAACGCCTTCACTGCTTGACCTGCTAGCTGTCCTTCTCATTTTGCACGTTGTATCATCTTCGTCCCATCAAGGCTGTATTTGCACAATTGTGGGACGACAAGACATCCAATGAGTACATGTTCAATGCTCCAAACGGAGCTTCAACATTGCAGAAGAAGACCATGTATACTGTCCTTTGCACTCCCAAGTGGCAGCACTTCCAGCCACGCCTCATGCTCAGTAGAGATTCCAATGATTCCATCATTCAAACTCGCATCTCGCTGGTGCGGCAAGCCTCCTCAAGGTCACCAGGGCGTTCAAGCAGAATCCGAGACTGAACACCCAGTCCGGACCTTGCATCGTTGATCGAAAAAGAACGTGCACCTGGCGCATGAGAATCCTCTAGAACCCAAAAAAGTCACCTTTGCATGATACATCAGGGTGGGACCCGACAGCTTTGGATGTATAAGTCGTCTCATTCCTTGGGTCGATGGGCCGGACCAACAAAGCTCTTTCCGGTGGGCTGTTTCTGGGCTCGCTGAATCTGTTGTGCCAGGTCTAGCGCCTGCTCCTCGCAGTCCATAGAATCCCATGTCTCGTCCAAAATATTCACAACACACATTCCATGGGCGCGCAAGTATCTCCTTGGCTACATGGTGTAGCCCTCAAACATCAACAGCCTCGTTGGACCTTTAAACGCTAGCCACATCAACCGAAAACAAAAGAAAGAATGCACTCTAGGCAACAAGGGCATTACTACTAGTAAAAAGAAGCTGCTAGCAACAAATGCATCGCTACTAGTAACAAGGCATCATCTACTAGTAACAAGGGCATTACTACTTACTAGTAGCTATATAGAAGCTACTAGTAACAAATGACTCTAGGTTTGGACAGCTTGGACCAAGCGTGTGGTGTCTCAAAAACCCCTCACCAAGGGGCTGCTTCATCATGGTTTGCCCCAGCGGTTCACCAGTGGCCATATGCAGAGTGCGCGGTGCTGAGTGGTATTGTACAGCTACAGGTTTGTCCAGTTCATTGCCATCACTAGGCACCAACACATCCACGACATAGCCATCGATGTCGACCAGCTGCTCTACCTTCTTCATGCCCGCCTTGCTCAAGGAACGTGCCAAGCTTTCTCGCGCCACCTCAGGCGCGGCACTGTGCATTTGGCTTCTGCAGAAGGGCTCCCGCACATAGGACGTGTACCGCTCCAGGCCCTCCGGATCCAATGACGGGAAGTAGGTCCGGATCTCCAACAGCGCGGGGCACAGCAGCACCGCGCCCCGCGCGGTCCGCACGCCGCCCGGCGTGAGGAGCCGGAGCAGCGTCGCGAAGAAGTGCGCGTCCCGGTGGCGCAGGGCGCAAAACGCCCAGAGGATCTCTGAGAAGTGAACGGCCGAGAACTGCGCTAGGCGATCCAAGATATCAATCTGCACATGCCCCGCAAAGGAAGATCCTACTCGCAGGGTCGCATAGCTCACCAGCAGGGCCGAAAGCTCCTCGGGCGCCAGCTCGCGGCTCTTGTCAAAGCTGGCGCGCAGAAAGACGGAAACGGATTCAGGAGAAGCAACATGGGACAAGGTGTAGGCTTGCACCACAGCAGTCAGGTGACGGCTTTCCATTTCAGCCACTTCCTTCACTACTTGAGACTCGGCTTGCTGCAACAACCGCCTGTCCCTGAATGCAAACCGATGGCAGTTTCGACGGGGATGGACGGAAACACTCTCATCCCAAAAGCGAAAGTGTCCAGAGAGGCCTCTCGCTGTATTCAACAGGCATTGAACTAACCTCGGCATTGGAAGCTTGGAGAAGTTCTGCAGTATGTGGTTGTACAAAAGCTCAAACAGCCCCTTGGGGACAGTTCCATGCGGCTGCAGTTTGCAATAAGCCCACATGACATCACTGGCTTGCTCAACTGTCAGGGAGCTGCAACAAAGCCGTAGCCGTTCGGTTGAAAGTAGGAAGACCCGAGACATGGCAAAAGTCCAACTTGGCTTGCTGCCTTCCTCAATTTCTCCAATTGCTCCTGTTCTGTATATCCTGTCCCTAGCAGCTTTACCGCGAGATTTCCAAAGGACAAAAAAAACGCAAGAATAGCACCAAGGTAGGCAAACACATCATCTCACTTTGCACTCGCTCTTCAACCAAGTGTAGGATCTCTTCAATAAAGTCTTGTGAAACCTTGCTTGGCCACAATGAATAGGCTTGAACTATATCCTGCAGTTGACTGTCAGAGAAGGCAGACAGGTGTCTGGAAACCAACGGAGCAAAGCCCAACAAAAACTGTTTCGGCTGGTGCGGGGCTTTTGAAAAGGCAGCTGCAAGCATCGCCACCTCTGCTGCCGTAAACTGATCTGCAGTTTGAAAACAGCATTGGACCAATTGATTGAAAAGCAATTGACTGCCACAGCCAACTCCTGTGAAGCTAGTTGCTACTTGAGACAAACCCATGCCGCTCATGGAGGGCATTTCTCGAATCACCGCTGGCTCGACGATTTTGAAGAGCTGCCGGTCATTCCAACGCATTGAGTTTAATACTGCAATCAATCTTGGCAAATCCTTGGCTTTGTAACGGTCCAACCTGAAAAGCACATCCTTCATGATGGCCATGAAGTCGGGATCATTGAACAACTGTTTTTTCGCACTGAACAATTTTCCTCGGTCTTCTTCATTTTCGTCCTGGATTTTTTCCCACAACCTTTCAAGTATTGAGCAAACGTCGGGTGGCTTCAATATATCACGTTGAGCAATGAAATATTTTGTCAGATCCTTGCTTGTGTGCAAACACAGGATCTCTTCGGAAGGTCTCACTGGTGCAGTGTTGTGATTTCTCCTTTGGCAGCAGGTCCCACATGGTCTGTTTATTGCAGGGGGGCCAAAGGTTCGGCACCAAATTTCAAAGGTCTTTTGAAGAGAGGACTCCTTGAGCATGAGTTGCTTTCATGGCTGAGGACCTGGTCAACAGGCCAAGCGAACGACGCACGATCCCATTCCTGCCAGAACGAGTTTTCCGTGAGAGAGGTCCATGTCTGGAAAAGGTGCAGAAATGTGCAACAACATGACATAATGAGCGTCATACAACTTTGGTATCTTTACACGGGTTGTCCAAGACTTTGATCTCCTTCGCTCTTGATACAGCAATGCAATTACTTGTGCAAAAAGAACGGGTTATTTTGTCCCAACTGAACTTTGAACTGGACTTTTTTCCGAACCAGCTTTGTTCAACGGACGACCCCGGTTCACGTTGAAGCGTATGATCGCAAGTAATGTGTGTGAACCACAGGGCCCATGTGCAAGCTCTTTCTCAAAATCGATTGTAAACACAAACTCCGACAAATCTCCAAAACGCTGCCAAACTTCCATGCAATAAATACGTCATGTGTGCCCCTCTGTTCACAAACCGCCTGTTCGACAAGGAGCCGATGCAAGTTTCGGAAGGGCAAACAACATGCATTTTTGACAGCCTTAAAACTTGAGGATGCTTCATGGCAAGGTTGCGCAAAATGAACGTTGAAAGAGGGACTGCGGCAGGTCTGTTAATTTCAATAAAGAATCAAAGTATGCACCTTTTTTGATTCACAAAAAGGCTGCAGTCAGGTGAGAATGACCGACATAATGCCAGTTATGCTGTACTCTCCTGTGGCTTACATTGGAAATGAAATGGTTCGCACCCTTGTCGGCACTGTGAAACTCCATGCTTCTTTGAGCTGACTTTGCCACCATAGTTTTTTTCCAAATCAATTCTTGTTTCTCTGCGGGCTTGATCATCTCTCTCAAGAACTGGGTTCCCAGAGATTGGAATTACACCTGTTTGTGATCTGTCTGAAAATTTTTCCGCATGATTGCACATTCTAACAATTCTTGACACCTCCATCTCCTTTTCTGCCACATCTGCTGCCTCCTGCAATCCTCCACTCATGAGATTCCGCGTCTGCAATGTGTTGTTCTCTCATTGATATTTTCCCATTTCCTTTTCCCAAGACCGCCTGCGAAGAGTTCTTCGCGAAAAACCATCCGCAGAACTACGTTTCATCAGCATTGATCAACATTCAACCAATGTCGACAAGTTGACCATTTTCAATCATTGAAAAATTTTTGGACCAATCGTAAGATTGATGTTTTCCAATGCAGGTTCCTCAGGGCTCTTTTGCACGAGACTTCCCAAAAGTGAAGCGGCAAGTCTTACAAAAACGTGCGTCTCGACCAGAAACAAAATGCACTCTGGCCTGTGTTTCGCGCCAAACTCCAGGTGCCCGAAGAGCAGCTTCAACACAAACAATTTTTCGTGGCAACCGCAGGGGAGTTGGGAGAAAGCCCACGTGGGATCTTCGTGGTCTTGGAAAACTTGAAAAGAAATGATTTTGTGGAGGCAGCGAGAAGTGCAGATTTCATGCGCGGGGGAATTGCGACATGTCCTCGTTGATCTGCACACTGTTGGAGCTCTTGCTTGGCAAACCTGCCGCCAGCTGCGAATTGTTGAGCTGCCAGCAAACGGTTTTTTTGGCACAAGTGCGGACGCCATGTGTTTTTTTTTGCACGGGTCGAGGCGCTATGTGTCACCTTAAGCAGTGAAGAGAAAGTTACGAACCATGAAGCCAAGCACCGCACCAAAACAAAAAACCCACAAAAACCACGCCCAAAACAAAGGCCAGGTTCGTAACTCGAGCCGGCAATGTCAGCCAGTTGAGAAAGGTAAGCGAGGGGCGATGAGTTCAGCCTTTGCACTCAGTACGTCATCATCACGTCATAAAGTGAAAGTTGAAGATCAGCCCAGTTCCCTGCTAGTTCTCTGTCCCAACTCCAGTTCTCTTCCCTCCAGTCCCCATTTCCTGTTCCAAGTTCCCTGTCTCCACTTCCCTGTCCCAAGTTTCTCCCAGTTTGCTGCCCCCAGTTCCCTGCCTCCCAGTTTCCTGCTTTTTTGCACGGGTCGAGGCGCTGTGTGTGCAGAATATGCACAAGTCACCTCAGTCCAGGAAAGAGAGAGATACGAACCCAGCAGCGACACCAAACCAAGGAACCCAAAACACAACCAACCCAACAAAACACCACAACCACAAACAATACACAAAAATGGGAGCAAGGTTTGTGTCTCAAGGCTGTGTAAGCCGACTGCCTCCCAGTTTCCTGCCCCTGCCTCCAGTTCCCGTCCCCAGTTCTGTCTCAAATTCCTTGTCTCCAGTTTCCTGTCCCAGGTTCCCTGTCTCCAGTTTGCTGCCCCGAAGAAGGATTCAAAGGACACTGCCTTTTCTTGAATGTAGAACCTCAAGTCGCCGATCAAGGTCCACCCATGCCTTGCAACACCGTGTACTGAGCGATGAAGCCTCATTTGAAGAAGGAACTTCGGGTGCAAAGCTGAAAAACTCATCGCACGAAGGATGCAACAGATTTCAAAGTGCTCATACAGCCTCTTTCAGTGAAACCACCACTGCTGGCTAGAAACTCAATCTTGATGGCTGAGAAGCAGCCGAACCCAATGATTGTGTGCTGGGATGAATTCACAGCCCCGGTCTCACACACCTTTCTTTTGGGGCACGAACCTTGCCTGCGGCTTGGATGTGGTTGTGTTGCTTTTTGGGGTTTGGTTTTCTGGTTTCTTGTTGCGGCCTTGTTCGCATCTCTCTCTTTTGCCAGTCCTCGGTGCCTTTAGTGCCCCTTCGTGGAATTCTATTGTCAATTGGATTTCTTCTCCACCAAAGGTGGTCAGGATGAGGTGCAGCAAGTGATTTTTCTTCACTCACCGGGGAGCTGCATAGGGACATGTTGTCTTCGACCATCGCGAGAGTCCACTGTCCTAGCGTAGTCTTGAGCCTGAAATCACTTTTCTACTGGCTGACGCAGCCAACTTGAGGTACGAATCTTGCCTCCTTTTGGTTGGGTTTGTTGGTTTGGGGTTTGTTGTTCTGGTTTCGGCTTGCCGCTTGGTTCGTATCTCTCTCTTTTACCAGCCCAAGGTGACTTGTGCATCCTCTGCACACACAGCCCCCTCGACCCGTGCAAAAAAAAATATGCTGAGCATAGCGCCTTTGACAAATGCCATCAGTTCGATGCACCAGTGTGGATTCATCTTCTCCCGCCGAATCAAGGCGGTAGTGGGACGGTTGAGGCTGAAGATTTTACGAGGAGCTACGCAAGGACCTGCAGACTTTGCTGTGGAGCGGACATGAGCCTGATTTGCTTGGTCTCTGTTGCTTTGTGGTTTGGGTTTTTTGGTGGTGGTTTTGTGGTGTTTTGGGTTTGGTTCTGTTGCTCTCTTAGGTCAGGCTCATTTCCTCGCACCCCTCAAGTGAATTCGATACGGTGACTTGTGCCTCTCGGCACACATAGCGCCCTTACCCGTGCAATTTTGCCACAAAACTGGCATGATGGCCTTGAGTGTTTCATTTGACTCTGCTTGAGCTGCTGCTCAAGCGTTCTTGCAATCACGGTGAAACACTGCGCTTGACCGAAGTGGCCTCTTGAAGCGTGGCCCTTGGCTGCAGGAGTCCTCGCACGAGGCAGACTGGCTCATTGACAACGAGATGTTGGGCATGCGAGTCTTGAAACTTTGTAAGTCTGAAAAGCCAAAAGGTGCAGATCCGAAGATCAACACAGAAGTGAAACGGGGCGATGAATTCCTTTCAAGCCGCTCTCAGTACATGATGTCCAGGACGAAAAATGCATTCTGCTTGTTGGTAGGAAGATGTCCCACCAGAGGTGCACTGCGCACACTTGTGCGTGAGCAAGACTGAAGGAGAGAGTGAGGTTTTTCCGTAGCCATTTTGGCTCAAGTTTGGAGGATCAAGACTACTTCTTAAAGAGAAGCAGTTGTCTCCGTGCCGGTACGCGTAGTTAGGTTAGTTTGCGCTTAGGCTCTGTTTGTCATCTTTCATTACACTGCAGTGCGGTGTCCTTAGACATCGTACATCCTCAAGTGGTGTCCTTAGACATCATTTGATTGCAAATTTTGTCCGCTGCCTTACGCAAGCCTTTTCAAAGG